ATATATTTATATATTTATATATATATATATATATATATATATAGGTATAGTGAAACTCTCATCAGATTGGAACCACGATATAGAGAGGGAACGCTGTAATGCAAAAAAGAAAAAAAAAATCACGTCTATTTTGCATTTTGAATTTCGCCAAAATCGTCGCAATTTTAACGTAAACGGTGTTTACCAAGATCACTTTCTAATTCTTTGTTGATGCACACAGCAGGAGGAAGACATTTTACCAAGGCAAAAAAATATTAAAATATTTTTCTTTCTGTGCGGCCCGGTACCCATGGACCGGTGCCGGTCCACGGCCTGCGGGTTGGGGACCACTGCTCTATAGCAAACTGACAAAATCCAAGAATAGGCTTGAAATTAAAAAAAATATATATATATTTATTTATTATCATGTATACTATACCTTTATTTATACACTGTGAGTAGTGTGATTTTTTGCAGCAGAAACACCTATTTATGGCAATCTGATTTTAGGAGACTTTCCATAAAACCTCCTTTCAACCGAAGGCGGCACATCAGTCAACCAACCATGACAACGAGCTGCAGAGGATCCTGATCCGAAGGAGAGACAAACTAGAGACCCCGCCACAACACCAGTAAGGTTCGTCTCCCCCCCTGTGTTAACTGTCAATCCTGTATCAATAGGTGACTGTAAAATCAGGACCAACCTCAAAATAAAGCAGAATATTTTGACACACGTTATTAGAATCAACCTGCAATGTGTCCAGTACCGACCAATTGGATGACAGCAACTGCCCTGTGTGTGTGTGTTTGCTCCTGTCTCCATCTTTGTGCAGATCTCCACTCCGTCCTCTCTCCTGCAATGTGACGGGGGACACCTGAGGTTGGTCCCTGAAATTACAGATTATTTCTGGATGCTTGGGCAAAGGAGGGGGGGAAGGGGGGGGTTGAAGATGCCGAATCCAGTGCAGCGTGTTTTTGTGACCAAACGGTCAGTCTGGTGGTCACTGTCTCGAAAAGTAATGTTTTATTTAATCCATTGTGAAACATTTTATATCCTTGATTTTTTTTTGTAATAATAATAATAATAATGTTTATATATATTGCATCGTTGAGAAAATTAACATTTTGACTCCCTTAAAATCTAGTCTTATTATATAGGACTAACTGAGAGGTGTCAAACTCAAAAGGGTCAAAATCAAAAACTGTGACAATGTTATGGCCCGAACCCAATATTAATTGGAAAATGAATTATAAATAATAATGTTTTCCCTACCCCTCGAGATACAGTATGTAATGTAGAATTTTTTTTTTTGGCAAACAAACTTTAGTTTTGCGTAAACATTCAATCGGGAACGCCCAAATCTTAATATTAAAAAACACATGTGAAATTAAATTTGAAAGAAGACACACATAGGTGGTATTTGTTTCTTATTCAGAGGTATCTATCTATCTCTAACCTTTTTGAGTTCCTTCACAGGCCAACAAAAAAAACAAAAAAACAACTCCACACGCCTGAGTTTGGCACCAGTGAACTAACTGGTCCAAAGTTCTCCTTTTATTTCTTTTACTAAAGAAAATTCTATTTTCTTTAGCATGACAGAAAAAAATCGCGAATCACTGATCTGAACAAATGGAAAATGTATGTTCGACTTGTCGAGCGCTTACTGGGAATCATATCGTAACATAAAGTAAACAATGGAGATCCACTTGTATGGAGGACACTGAATGTTTTCACTGGGTCCTTTGGAGACGAGACAAATATTGTAGTATGACGTGAGAAAGAAGTATTTGTATTTCTTGTATGCTTAAATGAATGTTGAGCTCTTTCGAAATCCAACGCACCTCCTTTAGTCTTCCTCTTTGGCTTCACTCTGTATGAAATGGCTACGGCCGTTTCACATCTATATGGTCTTATGACTGGCTTTGTCTCTGACGTTGACATCAGCATGACGATTACTTGGTTGTTGTATTTTCACCAACTACTGTGAGTGAACTTTTTAATTTTTTGGGGGACAGTTTTTTTTAGCTTTGTACTTCCTTCTGATTTTACGACCCTATTGTTCTCTTATTGTGTATTCTCTGTACTCGTGCTGCTCGACTTATCAGCAGCATTTGACACCATCAGTCACTGTCCATACACCCAGACATGGACATCACGGGCAGTGCACACTACTGGTTCGAATTTTACCTGATTACCGATCGGTCATACCTCACACCATTTTGTCACCGGCGTCCCCCAAGGCTCAGTGCTAGGGCCCCTCCTCTTTGCCATGCCCACCACCTTGTCTCTCTAACACATCTGTATGGATAAAAACCCACCACCTCCAGCTCCAAAACTGAACTACTGGTCTTCCCAGCCAAGCCTGACATATCCATCACTGGACTGTCTCCTACCAAAGCAGCAAGAAAGTTGGGTGTCGTGATGGTTGACCAGTTGACCTTTACAGATCATGTTGCCTCTGTAACCCGGTCATGTCACTTTACATTGTTCAATATAAGTCAGATCAGGCCTTATCTAACCCAACAGGCCACCCAGCCATCTATCCATCCATCCATTTTCATCCGCTTATCCGTTACCAGGTCACGGGGGCAGCAGTCTCCACCCAAATCACACTGCACCGTACCAACCCCCCTGAACCTTCCTGTGGGTGGTGAGTCCACCGGAAGGTACCGACCGCCCTAACTGGGATTCGAACTTGCCCAGGAGGTGAACCTTGGGGTTCCACACCACTGACAGAGACATTGCCTCTGGGCCAAAGCGCCACAGGCCACCCAGCTCCTGGTACAAACCATGGTCATCTCCCACCTCGACTACTGCAATGCCTTCCCAACAAGCCTCCTAGCCTGTGCTGTGAAACCTCGACAGATGGTTCAGAATGCGGTGGTGCACTTGGTCTTCAATCAACCTTGAAGGGCACATCACCCTCGTGCCCACTGATCTACACTGGCTACCCTGGCTGCGCTGCCCACACCGAATTCAAATCAGTGTTGCTAGCATACAAAGTACTTGAATGGGTCTGCTACCTACCTACCTAAGCGCACTGATAAAGGGCTCGTGTTGTCTCACGTTCTCTCCGCTCGTCTAGGGAATGTTGCGTGAATGGATTGATTGTTTGTGCTTTCCGATGACTACTGCCTGTGGTCATGCATTTAATTTGGTGCTTATAATAAAAGAGTTTTTGTGGGGAAGAAAGAAAACTGACTACAGATAATCGGGTGTACTGTAGAAGAATAACTAAATTCTTAGTGCTAAATAATTTGTCCCTTGTCCAGTCATTTGTCCATATGAGCGGCGGGCAGAACAATGAAATCCTCTCATTGGTTAGCAGCGGATGGCTACACAAACAAAAAAAATAGAAAAAGTGTGTCATTCTTCAATTCCCCGCCAGTATATTCGCGTTGTGTTCAACTAAACAGGAGTAAAATGGTAACTTAATTGAAACTAGAAGATTGTTATTTTTCAAACATACCATCGCTTTATACATTTTTCGTATGACTTTAAAATGGTGAATTTAGATATTCTTCTACAGTACACCTGATTTTCTGTAGTTGCCGCGGCACAGTGGTTGGGAATCTCAGTGTTAGAGTAGACACGCAGTAGCTTCAACCTCTGGGCCTCGGGACTTGACCTTTTGAAGTCATCGTGAATGCTCCTGCCGACCACACCAGTCAGGTGCTCCGAGTGAGATCTTTTTCTTTTTTTTTTTCTTTTTGTACCGTGGCACCTGTGCACATTTTACACAATTACCCCTCTGGTGATTGTGTGAAACACGAGATCCGTGAACTGTGGCCAATGTCCGTCCCTGCATTGTACGCAGCCCTAATTAGAGCTTTCGGCTTCATTTAGCAACCGAGGAGCAATTTCCAGCTTTAAGCCACCTTGAACAGAGGACAGAGAAAATGTCACAGGCTTGAGCAACAGTGCTCTTCAAAGGCTTTAAACTTTATTGAACCGCACATTTAGGAACAAGCGCAGAAACAGGAAGTGCCTTAGGAAGGGGATTACACTTTAATCTCGCGTGTGGAACGGCACATTCGCCGTGCTTAGGTGACAAAGGTTTGCAGAAGGATGGGTGAATTATCATGGATAACATGTCGGAGGGTAGAGTGTCAGGGAACGGTGGAGCCGCTTCGGAGGGGGACGAGGAGGAAAGAAAAGAAGTCTTTGTGTCCGTTTGTCTCTTCATATCCTCCGTATCTAATGAGGTCTTCCTGCCGAGGCTCCTCACGTCACGCTCGTCGTTCAATCGTGTGGCAAGGTTTCTTTCCGCGGTGTAAAAAAGAAGTCAAACATTTACTGGTCTTCGCAGAAGCTGGGAGTTGCGATCTCCCATCAGGCCTCTGATGGAGCTCCCTCTGCTTCGGCCATGTCTTGCTGCTGCTGCTGCTGCTGAAGTTCTTGCTGCGTCTGCTCGTGCAGCATCTGCGCCTCTTTTATTTTTTCAGCAGGCAGTGGAGCAGAGTGGCTCTCCTTATAGACTGTGATGAGACAAACGATCGAGCGTTAGAACTAAAACGAATATAGTAGTATAGTATAATATCAGAATAAAAACCTGATCGGGTACATCCGTATGTGCACCACTCCCTGGGTAATGTCAGGTTTGAGCCAGTGTTAAGCCGGACAGCTAATTAAAAGATTTATCACAGATGCTAACCTTTTCTGGTTTGGATGAACTTTTTTTTTTTGAGTCCGACACAATCACGGAAACACTGTTTGCTTCCAAGCACGGGCATTACTTCCTCCTCCTCTTTGTCTAGTCTCCTTTTACATGTCTATTTCAGGAAGAAAAGAAGGAAGAAAAAAAAAAAAAGGAGCAGAATAGAAAGACTCCCACCCTGGGCTCCTCGTTGGGCCAGTTCTTCCTCTATAGAAAGCAGGCGGTTGTACTTTGTCATCCTCTCAGCACCGATCAGACCTCCCAGTTTGATATAGTCCAGTCCGAGACCCACAGCCTGAGGGGGGAGAACACAGTGTCTGAGTGAAACATGCCGTTTTCTTTCTTTTTTTTTTTTTTAATTTACATCATTATTGGGTTAAGTGAACACACACATTCATATATATATATATATATATGCATAAGCTGTGTTGCTTTGCATCATATTTAATTTCTGCAGGTTTTAATTATTTTGTGAAGTAAATCTATAATAAATGTAATTTTAGAAATAGCTACAATTATATAAGCTAAAAATGAGCTAAAATAGCTAAAAATAGCTAAAGATTAGAAAAGTAGATAATTACGACACAGATCCAGCTGACCTAGAAGTTGACTTGTCTTTAACATTGCCAAGTAGTGACAGAAACTTTCCAGATATACGTATGTGCAGGGGGTATTTTAGTATTTTCACAGGTACTAGCTAGCAAGTGTTACAGACAAATACGTTACCAGGCGTCGCTATACGCAGAAGACACCTTTGTTTACATTCACCTGTTGTGCACCGAGGATTGAATTTTACTTCATTTCTCGTTTGTACTGGTTTTTTTCCCCCTTCATTCTGGCTCCAAACAGGAAGTCAGACTCTTCTGGTGTTTTTATGTCCTAGGTTATGATGTTAGCACTGAGTGACATGAGTACAGAGACACTTATGTCCAGTACATGAGTTCAGACTTAAGTTGAAAATCAAGTTACGGCGCAATGTAGGAATGGAACTCCGATTTAAGTTGAGGACTCTCTATCAATCTACGAGTTAAATATGGTTGACAAATCATCAAAGAGAAGTAGAAGACGTAGAAGAGGAGAAAAAAAGCCATATGCAATGAGGCACATCTTAGTTTGACAGCAGGTCATCATGTTGGTAAAAACTCCCCAAAAGTTAACATTATGAAGGTTCATGATAAAGTGGCGACCTCTTTCCCGTCCTGACCAGATGTGTTTGATTCTTATTTTTCAACATCCCAATTGTCACAGACTCCACCAGGGATTTTAATGTCATATTTAGACATGTTGGTTTCTGGAGACGTCAGAAAAATATTTTGCCTCCAAAATGTGACTTTAAGTGTATCCTAGTGAGATTGCGAGCAAAAACAAAAAAAACAATGCACAGTGGATCATATTTAGAGATTGTTGTTTATGGATGACGCTCGCGGAGTAAACAAAGATGTTTATACAGATATGTGTTTGCATTTGTATTTCTGTGATGCAAAGGTAAACAGGTTGTAGTTCATAACCCAGGACCCTTGTCAAAATGTTGTGTGTTTAAACGCGTCTGACGTTAGTGACTCAATAAGCCTGCACACCTAACCTTTAAAGACACTACAAGACGTATTGATGCTACATCATCTACAAACAATTCCATGTTATTTGTGTAACCCGAGTTCACGAAACACATTTTGTTCCTACAGACTTTACAGGGGGTTTTTTTACATTAAATTTTGCTATTCTCCTACAAAAAAAAAAAACGTACTAGCTGTTTTTTAGGAAATGTCAATTTTCAGTGGTACAACAGTAGCAGATACTGGTACACAAACCTAGACTGCCCTCTAACGGTTGTCAGTGTGAAAATTTATATATTTTAATATATAAGTCGCACCTAAGTATAAGTCGCAAACACAGGCATGTGGATGAAAAAAAGGGTGCGACTTATAGTCCAAATAATTCACTTTTTCTCACGCCTGAACTGTAATTCTGAATCAGTTAATCTATTACCTTGCTTTTCTGACGCGAAGTGAACCAAATCGCTGACAGTGGTGTCGTGGATGTGTTTTACCACGTAACCTCTGACTGCTGGAGGGGGCGGGGCCTTTCCCTCGAATAGCAGTGAACAGGAGTCTGTGTTCGCGTTCCTCAGCTTCTCCCACTGCTCGTTGTCCTAATGGAGGAAAACACAAATTTGTACAAAAGCCGACAGATTTCAATGACTAGAAGTGTTAAATATAAATATATTTACAACATATGAAGTTACGTTTGCAATAGCAATCAAATCAAAGACTGTTTAACGTTTATGCTTAAAATACATCTTCTGCAATTATCAGAGGGCCGGCTCAAGCTAATTTAGTGCCTGATCGGTAAATCAATTTATCGCGTGATAAATGAAAAATAAACTTTTCCATTTTCCCGCGCATCAATCACCCGTTCTTTGTCTCTGCGGGCGCGTTTGTTCCATAGCAGAATGAATGGAGTGAACCCGCTTATCAATCACCCGTTCTTTGTCTCTGCGGGGTCGCTAGAATACACAAGTGAGCCTCGCGAGGAGCAATCTGAGGTAACGTAGTAGAATTCAGGAGCAAAATAGATGATTCGACTTTAAACTGAATGAGCAGGTTGGCCTACTTTGTTAGAAAGTTGCCACAACAACAAAAAAAAAGGGAAACACAAAATTGCATGCCCACCTAAAACTAACTACCGACCCAGTTTTCACAGCTGCAGAAAAAAGTATTTACTGTTGTGAATACAATCAGAAATGGCACGCAATCTCAGAACCTGTAGTTCGCTACATCGCAAACGCTTCCCAACCCCCGATAGCCCTTGGTTTTGGTTTTGGTTTTTGTTTTATTAGGGGCCCAATCAGCGGTGTGTGCATAACGAGCTGCATTCAGGTACCATAAGGGATGCAAGTACCGTTGACAATTTGTACTGTGTATATTAGTACTTTAATATTATGACATATTATCTTGACATCATTGGGGAATTGCCTATATCGCCTTTGCAAAGAGCCATCCCTCCATTATTGCACTGGACACAATACAGTAGTAGAAATCAAGGCAATAGATACTGTATCATATTTACCTCTTTTCTAAATGGGTTTATTAAAGCCACCAGAGCTGGGAATTTGTTGATCAGGCTTTGGTACAAATCCAGTAATTCATCCGGAGACTTAAACATTCCCGTCGCAACTTCGTACTTTCCTTTAGACTGAAAAGAAGAGAAAAACCAAATGACAAATAACCATTAAACTAGGAGGCAGACAAAAAGGTATATACATATATATATATGTGTGTGTATATATATATATATATATGTATACATATAAATGTACATGTATGTGTATATATGTATATATATATATATATATGCTGCTACAAGCACATTGAATGACATATATATATATGTACATGTATGTATATATATATGTACATGTATGTATATATATATGTACATGTATGTATATATATATGTACATGTATGTATATATATATGTACATGTATGTATATATATATGTACATGTATGTATATATATATGTACATGTATGTATATATATATGTACATGTATGTATATATATATGTACATGTATGTATATATATATGTACATGTATGTATATATGCACATTGAATGACATATATATATATGTACATGTATGTATATATATATGTACATGTATGTATATATATATGTACATGTATGTATATATATATGTATATGTATGTATATATGTGTATATACATACATATAACTATATATGTATGTATACATATATATGCATATATACTGCTTACATGTGTCACAGAAATGAGTCTGAAAACAAAATGTGTGTATGTGTGTCCTGGTTAATTTTTTAATGGTGGGACTGTCCACTGTCTTAGACCAAGACAACAGCTACTTCCTACACTGAAATAATGAGGCAGAATACTAAAATTCCATCTCAAGATACCACATTTTCCGGACTATAGGTCACACTTTTTTTATCCATGCTTTGGCTGGGTTTGCGACTTATATTCAGGTGCGACCTATATATTAAAATTTCACACTGACAGCCATTAGAGGGCAGTATAGGAAATGTAAATTTTCAGGTTGGTATTTTTCCTCTAGCACTCCAGGCTTGTGTACCAGTATCTGCTACTCCTGTAAGTCGCACTTTCTTTCATCCTTTGTCTGATGTGACTTATACTCCGAAGCGACTTACGGACCCCGGAAAATACAGTGGGAACATAATGTTTTTATTGTACTTAGGTAAGCAGAGGTAAGCAGTGCAGCACCTGCTGGGCCTCTACGAGTGTTTTGCTGCACCGCAGTGGCTGTATTTCAGGGCTTTTGATGACTTACATGGTCCATGAGCTCAGCGGCGGCACAGTTCACGGCTAAGTAGATCTCTGCTCCAAGTGCCAGCCCAAGGTTAGCCGAAGCTTCAGCTACGAGTTCCAGCGGCTGCTCGGCTCTTTCAAAGCCCAGGATCGGTGCTCCACTATCATGCATAACAGCCTGAGTGACCTTGAAGACGACAACCATAAAAACTGGACATTTGAACCGGAGTCTGCAATGAAGATCTTAAATCGACAGATTTAAGATCTGTAATTATAATACCTTTTTTTTTTTTTTTTAACTTTACATTTCAATGATTTTACTTAAGAGTTAGTATTGTGGTCTGCCTTGTGTTTGATATGAATGTCAAAGCCAAGGGTCACCGAACAATAAAGGTTAAGGAAAGGAAAGGCAGATGGAAGCACTAGATGTCTTAATAAGGCTGAATGCCTGGGGTAATTTCAGTATTAAAATGTAGATAGGTCCTTCTTTATTCCTTTGAGGGACACCGAACCAAAGAAAAAGGGTTTCAATCCTGTTTCCACCGTTCTGATCTCACTCCCACGGAACAGTCCACGAAAATTGTGTGAACTCGGTTCCACTCTCGACGTGAATGAAGAGCCGTGGCCCTCACCCCTGCTTTTGTTGACGCGTTCATTATTTTCATCATCTCCTTCTGTAACTCAAAGGTCATTGTGATGATCTGTCGGAGAAATTGTTGGAGAAGTTCAGTGCATTTCAAAACACTATAATGGGAAATTGAAATGGAAAAAGAAGAAACGATTCACCGGTAATACAGCACATTGTGCAGAAATAAAGGCAGTGATTAACTTCATACAAATCTATTTGGCTGCCAACACTCGGAGTACGACCAACCAAACACTAATAGATTATGAAACAAGTCCCCAAGGCTATGCGGATTTAAACACCGGTACTGATCAGATCCCTGGATAATTACCATAAAAAACATGTGTTGAAATAAAAAAAACATATACGATGAAATGAAGACGATGAAGAGCCCATGAATAAAAACCAAATCTTAGAGAAAGTAAGGACATGTTTTCTCAGTTTATGATGTGGTTTTCTTGGAAGAACAACAACAACACAACAGTATACTGTAGGTGTATGGTGCACAGTACCTCGGTAACACTCTGTCCTGCTTTTGGAATCAGGATAACTTCCTCCATTAATCTCAGTTTTCCGGGAGAACCCTTTCCACAACTCATCAACGTGACCAGACAGATAGGGATGTGTAACTGTGCTGGAGTCTGGATAAAAAAAAAAAGAATGTTTGCTTGTTGCTTGGAGTAGAGTTGGAGTAGATACACAGCCTGATCTCACCTCTTGGGTTTTCAGAGATGCTATGTGTTTGTAGAGTGGAATGCCTTGTACTTTGGCCCCTGCTTTGGCAACAGCCAGAGATACTGATCCAATCCCCAAGCTCCCAGGCACAACCGGTTCCGTTGGCTCAGTAGGAGGTAATGCCTTTTCTATAGAGGTGGTTTTTTTAGCTGTGCACATCAACATGGACAATGGTTACACTCATTGTTGCAAGGTCAAAATGCTTCAAATCAATGACTTTCGATTCATTTGATACCAATCAATCCCCAACCTTTTTTTGTACCAAGGATCAGTCAGCCAGTAACAGCCGTTATTGTGGACCGGTAATAGCGAGACATCATTGAAGTATCGTTACATTTTCAAAATAAAACAACTTTATTCAGTATCATTTTGAAACATTGCCAGACTATCTTTGAATGAAAGAAGTAAAGGGATATGACTCGACTCTTTTTGAATTAAGTCAATTAGTAAAACTGTGGGTAAATTAAAAAAAGTGTATTAAACCGCGGCCAAGTATTAAATTACATATGGACCGGCACCGGTCCTCAGACAAGGGTTTGGGGATCTCTGCCATAAGGCATTGTTTGTTTATAGAAACACTAATATTTGACTGTTTATCAATGGATTTTTAACCCTTTGATGCCTGACCCATGATATACTGAGTTAAAAAAAGTGTTTTCATGTGTTTTTAGACATAAAAATAAGAACTGATTTGGTTCTGTTTTTATACACCAAATTTTCTTTTTGAATGTTGACACAATTATTCTGCAGTTGCAAAGGCTGACCACTGTATGGCAGTGTTGGGTGATTCTCAGGCGTCCACTGTAGAGGCGTATATGCAACACTGCCATCAAAACCTATTCTTATCATAGAAAATGACATTTTCATAGCTGTCCACTGTAGTGACCGTCATGCATGAAAGGGTTAAACCAAATCTACTGCGACAAGCTAGCACTACACTATGTAGAATGTAATAACTAATACTTCAATAGCTTTCTGAAAAAGTTTAGAAACGGGAAACTGGGCCGACTTCGTTCCTAGAAGACATTTCGCTTCTCAACTAAGACCCTTCTTCAGGTCGGGGTTAGGTTTTTTAATCCTCAAAGTGACTCACACCATGAATAGCAGAATTTTCCAACAGTAAAACGGTGTGTGTTTTATACGTTTCTAAAATATATAGCGTTGCAGAGTTAGTTGCTACCCTACCTCTACTGTCACCCCTCTTCTCTTTAGTGGGCGCAGCAGCTGTTGGAGGAGGACATCCATCGTCAGACTCCCCAGAGCCATAGATTTTTTCCTCTTCCTTTCTCTGAAGGATGTCTTTCCACTCCAAATATTGCGTCATGAAGAATTTACTGTATGAATTGTAAATATAAAAAGAGCACGGCTTAAAAAAAAAAAAGGCAATTTAACAGGATAACAAAGGTGAAATATAAGATGATGGCAACAAAACAGCTGATAGTCAAAGTTAAAATACAAAACAAAACCCATTATTATGGACAATTTCCAGATTTCTACTAGGCTTCCTACTATAGTGTCATATACTTTCTGTCTGATACAATTAGTTAGCTAGCTAGTTAGCTAGCTAGTTAGTTGGTTGGTTAGTTAGTTAGTTTCTAAACATTTTAGTCAAATGCAAAATAAACCAAGAATTAACCAACAAAATTATACAGTCATTCGTGTTGTTATAACACCAATTTCTACACTATTAATTTAAACGTAGGAAGGCGTACCAGTTCTGAGAATCAATTACATGACACAGTACTATTGGCTTATATAGCCGCCCTTTCCAATGAACTGTGCATGCTTTACACTTATTGACTTATTACTCAGTTCCCAGACAAAAACCAAGAAAGTGACCGTGACATATTGAATCACTCCGACATCCTTCAAAGATTTAACTCTGCAAATAAAAAAAATGTTATATTATGTCGGACGGACTTTTTCTGACCGAATTTTCTGTAAATTATACACAGACGATGCTTACAAAGTGTCCTTTCCTGCAAATGTCACAGAAGGACTTTTTTGTATAGGCTGTGTAACAAACACTAATTTAAAGTACGTAACCTTTACTGAGCGACTGAATATAAAACATTTTATATGTATATTTAATTCATTTTTTAAGACGCACAGAACACTAAGTAAGTAATTAATTACATATTTTCCTTAGATTGTAGACATTCAAGGTGTCATTCGTAAATTAATAAACTGTTTTGAGTTTTTGAGTTTTGACACTATCCATTAGATAGTGATATAAAAAATTAGATATAAATTAGATTCTGATTTGGTGAAGCTACACAACATGCAAATCGAATTAGCAGTGGGCCTATAGATTTTATCTTTAACAAATGTATATTGGATCCTTAAAAATAAATAAATCTTCCCTCGGAATAAATAACAAAATCATCCAGATCAGAGACGCTTACTCATGCTATGTTTCATTTATTTTAACTGTTTCTTAACCATTTGGCGTAATAATGTAAACTGATGTAATAACATTTCAAATGTACCTTAATAAATGGTCAATTTGTGACTGGTCACAAGGGTTGTAGCCCTTTAGCATGTCATTCAAGGGCTCGTTAATCCACTCAATAGCAGTCTTCACATGCTCAGCTCTCTCCTGGCAGTTGGGTTTCCAGTCCACAGAATACTCATTTGACCCAAAGCAGCTTGAGACAGAAGCTGAGCAAACATTCTGAAAAAAAAAAACAAGGAGAGGAAATAGGACCTGAGAATGTTTTCTCTGCAACTCCCATTTTTTCAGTTTGTTTCATTAAACCCCTTTACTGAAACCCTGGTCATAATGGAAACTGAAGGGTGTGCTACTTTCCCATTTCCATAAAATTTCAGAAAAAACAATTTGCTACATGTCTTGTTGCTCTCTTTGGACTTAATTACAGATAAAAGTAATTTGACGTCTGTAGGCAGCTCTACTCAAAAAAAAAAAAAAAGCTTCATCGAAAGCTTGGTCTGAAGCTTCATTAATCAGGTGATCTCAAGAAGAGGTTTTAAACAAAAACACAAATCAATAAATAAGATAAGTTTTATGGCACAGAAGTTGTGGATCCCAGAGCTGGGAATCCTATTGCTTGTTAACTGACAATATTTTATCATTGGTCCGACTCGTTGGTATTGTTAGCTTTCTTGCTTAAAATTTCTCTCTACCATTTTCTAAAACTAATTTGTGTGATCAGACATTTGCGTTTCTTCTAATTTAATTCAAAGTGTCAAAACAGAGTTGAAACAGATACAGTCTAAAATAATGGCTGCACTTTACACTGATGCGGTATGCATTATTGTGAAGCAATGGTGCGGATGACTCATGGGGCAGAGCTAGCGGCAGTGGCAAAAATGTGGCTCACGTGTTTTACCTGTTCTTCATTGCAGATGATACAAAAGACCTCCACTTCAACCGACAGCTGTCCTCTAGTGTCGTAAACCTTTCGCCCATTCAGTCGGTTTATCCTTGGCGCTGCAGAAAGTTTTGTGAAGTAACTTGCCTAGAACAAGGACATAAAGCAGGCAATGGTTTTTTTTTTTTTAAGTTGTGAACTTTCACGTCTGAGTGATTACCATGAGGCAAGCTAGCATGCCTTGCTTTGGGTCAAAGTACGTTATCTGGCCATGTGATATGTTTCCCCCAGAATGAAGACAGAGATAAGAGCAGAGGAAGTGGACTGACAACGAGATAATCAACGAATGTCGAACTGTCCTTACGTACTGGAGCTACCAAATGCTAATGCCAACATAGCTTCTAATCTCATACTAAGTACCATTCATGAAGAGAAACATGGCCAGAGGACTTGATTCAAGTTGTCTCACAGTACGAGAAAGGTCTGAACTCAAGAGGAAAAATAACCTTTACTGATCAGACGGAGAAAAAAATATACCCTTACTACAGTATGTGCATGTGTTGTAACCTGCAAGCGTCCACTGGCTACCATGGAATCATGGAAAAAGTGCTTAAAAGTGCATGCAGAGAATAGATTAGCTCTAAAGGAGCCTCACTAAAATCATCTATTTTTTCTTTGACGAAGAGCCACAGTCGCAATCTCCCCAAAAGAAGCTATAATAATTCTTGTACTTTAAAGTCTACAGAAACTGCCGCAATTTTGGCATTTTGACAAGAGCCACAGTCGCAATCTCCCCCCAAAAGAAGCTATAATAATTGTACTTTAAATTCTACAGAAACTGCCGCAATTTTGGCATCATTGCGTCCTAGCCTCAATTGTTGTGCAAACACAACCACCATCACGTCCCAGTTTTTTTCACATACTTTTTTAAATCACTTCAGGTGTTACAAAGCCTAGAAGAGACATAGACAGCCTTTTCCTAACCATCCATGTGATTGAACAAACTAAGGCTGTAGTATTATGTGTACGGTAACACATAAGGAAAAATTCAAATGTATTTATCAGAATGGACATGCTCAGTTCATGTTTCAATTTCATTTTTCTATTTTTTAAAAAACTGAACATAAATGCTTTAAAATTTCGAAACTTTTGAAACATTGTCTCTAGCTGACATAATAAAGCAAATTTATAAATATAAAAACTTAAAATATGTATTAAATAAATGGGAGTAGAGTGTGGCAGTTGCAGAACTGTTTAGATTCAATTTCATCTACTGCCCATAACGAATTTATTAGTGTCTCATATATTTCCCCCCACTTTTTTATTTATTATTGTCTCCTGTATGTAAGTCTTGTAATAACTATGTTTCCGACAGCCGGAAAGAATACAAAAGTTGTCCAACATGGCGACTAGACCATATACTGTACACACAAACTGTGACGTCATCTTAGAGTTGCCTACACCGGACGCATAAAACGTTTACCCCTTTTAGTTGCAGTAATTGCAGCAATACATGTGACAGCGCATCATGAAAATATCACGTAGATATGCTTGTTTCTTTTCTACCCAAAGAAACGCACAAGAAGAAAAACATTCCTACCAGGTATCCGTGAACGTCTTCCGGCTGCTTAAAAAACAGCCGGTTCAGAGCTTTCTCCATCTCTTCTGGGATTCTGTTCTGCCTGTAGAACCCAGCTACTGCAACTTTCTTTTCGTACAACTCCCGGTCCTGGTCGTTGAGGCGGCTTACAAAGCCTGGATGGGACATCTTTGTTCGTACTACTTTAATACAGTTAGTATTTACTGTGTTTTGTCTGTACCACAAACAACTCTTTCTGTGAGTTCTTGCTTTCTTCCTCTATTTATTTATGCGGTTTATTGGCAGCCGGTAAATACGTCTTTAATGACTTTTATCTAAGTCATCTAATTGTAACAGTGGTGCAATAACAACTTGCTTAATCCTGCTTCACTTTTCCTTACCTGACCATACAGTTTCATTGCTTTTTATTTTGGACATACACGGTGTTTCTATTTGCTGTCACCATGGATATGAGACGTTCAAGTCACGACGACTTGCTGGGAAATTAGAGTGATAGAGCGCCTGATTTTATCTTTGCTATTCTGTAAATTAATTTAAATGTTTAAGTAACGATTGCTTTTATTATTACTACTTTACTATAATATTTCAAATATGCAGTACTGCTACTGCTACTACTATTTACTATTAAATGCAGTTTTTTTGTTTTTGTAAAACTAAATCTCAACTCTGGGCTAAGCTGTGAGAAAACCGATCTCCACTGTGCTCTGTGTGCCTCATTGGATACGACTGATTTCAGTGGGGACTGTGCACCTCACATCATTGGATATGACTGATTTCAGTGGGGACTGTGCACCTGGTCTAAAGCTTTGTCAATAGCTCAGGGACAAGGGTTCTTCAGAAGCTGTTCCAACTTCAAAATATTGCAATTTACTTACCAAAAACTTACCATTTTTTTACTTGTTTTATGTTTCAAGTTTTAATTAGGGCAACAGGTTGGTTCACCACCACACTGTACCGTGGAACTGATTTAATGAGGGGTTTAAATCAGTCACTGGTACTCAACAATTAAGGTAGTAATTTGCATGGACCTTTATGAGTAGAACAAAACCAAGTTGGTTCAACTTAATTAAAGTAAATTGTGTTGTGCCTACTGTAGTTTTTTTTTTTTAAGAAAAAGTCGACTGCAGTCCTGAACAATACATTAAGTTTGGGGGATTTTGATTTTGTTTTTCGTTTTTTTATTTTTTTTATTTTTTAATTTTATAATTTTTTCATTTTT